CGGGCCCTGGCCAGTTCCCCAGCCACAGGCACAGCCACTGTTCTCCTGCTGCCTTCTGCTACCAGAGGTGGCTGCAGAAAAGCAGCCTGGAAAATCACATCAAGTTTGTAATTAAAAATAAAACTAGTCCAGCTTCTCCCTGGGTCATCCCTTCTCCTTTCTACAGTGCTGCTCATCAGCTGTGCTGAAAATTAGGTTTCAATACTTGTGACACTGAATATGTGACAGACAGTTCCAATGTTTTTATTTTCTTTTAAATATTCCTTTCCCCTGCTCCCCCACACCTTCATGCTTTATCCATAGCATTGGCATTGACGGTTTTTCAGCATATGGATAGAATGAAGATGTACTTTACAAATTAAAGTATGTGGACACATCAAACATGGACATTGGTTCCTGCCTGACTTCTCATTTGTATTATCCCCTCATTAAAAAAATCCGTCTCACGATTTAAAAGTCCTTTTCTATCAGACAACTCGAGGTCATGCTTTAGAAAACCATGCAGTTAAACATGAACTAGGCAAATACACAGGGGAACATTTGATGGTATTTATGTACCAGCTCTCAGTACTTATGGACTGGGCTACAGGTCAAAGGATTCCCAAGCTTTAACAAAGTTGCATTTACATGAGCTGCTTCATTTACATAACACATATTTTATCCTAAAGACCACAAAAAACCCCCCCAAATTTAGAAGGAATAAACTAGTATTAGAAACCTAACAGAAGGCATCTCCTCACCCCTGCTTCCCTTCCCATCACTCTGATCGTGGCAGGGTTGTGTGCATGGTGCACCCTGCACCCTAGAGTGGAAAAGGCACCCCAGGGCTGGCTCTGGTAATTCTCACCTGCAGGCCCTGAAGGTTACTGGGCTCCGTGGAGGTTTCTGAGATACCTGCAGGCACAGAGGAGCATGAGCCCTCCTCCCCAGAGCAGCCAGAGCCGCAAGAGGGCAGGAGAAGGTTGGTCACCATCGAGTGTGTTTGTACAGCTCTTAGACAGCAGGCAGGAGCTGTAAGGTGCAACTCCTGGCATGCTCCAGAGAGCCAGAGAGACACTTCTAATCTTTTTTTAATTTCTCCTTTGTCTCTTTGTTTTGGGGACCTTTTCAGCACAATTCTTTGCAAACATGTATCAGCAAGATGGGTACAGTCCAGCATGAAGTGCTGATGCTGGGTGAGATACACTGGGACCTATTTCTCATCCAAATGCTATGAAAAGACTTTCAACCACGTACCACAATGACAAAATCTAATGGCCTTTTCAAAAAGGACAGTGAAACCAGCACTGACATTCAAAGAAAGTGTTCAGCTGCTCAACTGAGATTTATCTCAGTAGAGGCCATGATACAAGTGCATCAATGGTCATGCAGAAAGCCACTGTCATCTGACCTTTCCTATGTTGAAACCACTCCTTACTCTGACTTAGCATTTGAGCCAGCAGTGTGCACTTGCAGCCCAGAAAGCCAACCAGATCCTGGGCTGCATCAAGAGAAGTGTGGCCAGCAGGTGGAGGGAGGTGATTCTCCCCCTCTACTCTGCTCTGGTGAGACCCCACCTGGAGTCCTGCATCCAGTTCTGGAGCCCCCATTACAAGAGGGACGTGGACCTGCTGGAGCATGTCCAGAGAAGGGCCACCAGAATGATCCGAGGGCTGGAGCAGCTCTCCTGTGAGGACAGACTGAGAGAGTTGGGGCTGTTCAGTCTGGAGAAGAGAAGGCCCCGAGGGGACCTTATTGTGGCCTGCCAGTTTCTTAGGGGGGCCTACAAGAAAGCTGGGGAGGGACTTTTTAGGATACCGAGTAACGACAGGACTAGGGGGAAGAGGGCAAAGCTGGAAGTGGGTAGATTCAGGCTGGATGGGAGGAAGAAGTTCTTCCCCATGAGAGGGGTGAGACCCTGGAATGGGTTGCCCAGGGGGGTGGTTGAGGCCCCATCCCTGGGGGTCTTTAAGGCCAGGCTGGATGAGGCTCTGGGCAGCCTGAGCTAGTGGGAGGTGTCCCGGCTCATGGCAGAGGGGTTGGAACTGGGTGATCCTTGTGGTCCCTTCCAATCCTGACAGATTCTGATCTGTTTTAGCAGAGGACTTTAGAGCCCTAATGGTTGGACTTGATGATCTTGAAGGTCCCTTCCAACCTAAAGGATTCTATGATTCTATTTGAAGCCTGCTCTGGAATGGCTGTACTCTTTGGAAACCTATGCACAGGCCCTCATTCACCCAAGCTCTGCACAGAAGGAGCCACAACCACCAGCACTGCCCTGGGAAGATGAGTGGAGAACTTGCACAGCACCTACCCTGGGGTGCACGGGGACCCCAGTGTTTTCTGCCTGCCCCTGTGCCCACTTGCAAAGACAACCAATCGTTGCCCAAACTCCTCTCCCAACTTTCCAAAGCATCAACTATCAAACTGCTTTAATACTTCGTGGTTACAGACCTCAGCGTTACACAAAAGCTACTTACCTGATCTTTAATCAGAGTCCAACACGGGCTGCCTTTTTGGTTTGTTTGTTTCATTTTATATCTGGCTATGACAGATAACACAATTTGATTGCAAACATTTAGGATGTAATTACTTAAGACCCATTCCCATGCTAGAGGGAGGCACTGTTATTCAGGCATAAGGAAACACTGAAACAGAGATTATGACAAAAAGGTCCTTGGAGTCATGGCTAGAAGCCAGCTGCTGTGCCTCCATGTGCAGAGGTTTAAAGGAACAACTTAAATCTCCCAATCTCAGTTTTATTTGAGCTATTACTTATATTCCACACAAAGCTTGTAAAGACTGACTGGAAAATATTTTTAGGTCTTAATGGCATTCATAGGTTGAAGGCAAACTTATCAACAAACAGAAAGGGCATGTTGAAATGCCGCTATTAAAATACTGCAAGAAGATTGTAATCCTTTTACCACTTTCCAATTTTCTCTGCTCATTATGTCTTGGGTAGATTAAGCATGACTCTGTACAGTATCTGGCACTGAAGTTCTCCAGTTTCAGCAGCTTTTCAAATATGCATTAGCTAAGCAAAACTGTTTTCCCAAGGACTCATAAAAATCTGAAAGATGGGAGCAGCCAAGATTACAACATGTGGTCTGCAAACTTTCCAGGTGAAAAGTTCTAAATTGCACTGATCAATGTGCAGAGGGGACTGAAAACACATGTCACAAGGAGGGTGATCACCGACCAGGCACCAACACAGCAGTCGATACCAGCAGCAAACTGTGTATTTTTTTTGTATAACTGTACTCAATGTGACAGATCATAAAAGCAGGATCCTGCAGGGTTTTTAATCAAAATAATCCAAAGCAGTAAGTATAATGATTTAGGGAATCTGTCAATTTATGTAATCTGTTCACCTTGGGGATTTATGTATTTATATTTATCAGACTGTGACTCTATTCTGAACGTCAAGTTTTGTCTGTCTGTTGTCTTTTTACCTGAGTGTTAAATGCACAGTGATACCAGTAAGACAGCAAGGATGTGGGGCTGGAATCATTCTGAGGAGGTCACCTGGTGCATCCCCCTCCCCAGAGCAGGGCTAATTGTGCCAACACACTCCTGAGGGTTAATGTCACCCATCCTTCAAAGTCCCCAGTGATGAGGCTTGTACACCTTTCCTAGAGAATTTAATACAGTGCCCCACCTGCACATCAAGTTCTTCCCAGGGCCTACCCCAAACTTTGCCTGACACAAATGCAGCCAATTATGTCCTGTTACATTCAGGAGGGACCCAAAGAACATGCTCTCCTGTCCTCTTCGTGTTTTGTCTTCATACTTTACTACATGTTTTCTATGGACTTCTTGAGATTAAACTACAGTTTCTGGAGAACTCCTCCACTGAGACTGTCTTCTAGGTCTTAACCTTTGATCTATTTTCTTCTAGACCTTCCACAGTTAACTAACGTCTTCTAGGAAGTGCAATGCCTCACATGAAGGTGGTGTATCACCTGAGGCTTTACTAATGCTCTGTAGTTACATAGGATTACTACATCTGCCCAACATGCAACTCTTCTGCTATAAACCAAGATGATTGTTTTATTTTCCCCTCTCAAAAACAGAACAGCATAGTTTAACCAATTTTCCACACTGCCCAGATGCTCCATGACACAGCAACTACTTTGTTGCTCATTTTCCACCCCAAACCAGTGATTATTCCCCAGCACCAAACTTCGCACCTGACCTCTCTGAACCTTATCCTGCCTTTCTTACAGACCATTTTCCCAGTCTGTAAAGACCCTCCAGCAGCCTGGTACCCATGTTGAGCAACTTCTCACTTCCCTCCAGCCTGAAGGCTGATGCTCCTCCACTCACACTGGAATCCCATCAGACTATTCTCACTCAAGGCAAGCTGGTCTGCTATCAAATCTGAACTTCTGAGAAAATGTAATTAAGTAGCAGGCCCTCCAAGATGATGACTTAAATTGTTGGATCTGGTAAATTGGTGGTCACTGATGACAGGAGCCTGGTGATGCCCACCAAAGGGTTGTCTTGACATATGATGACATGTGGGCAGGAAGGGGCAGGGTGCACTGAAGGATCTCCGGTCACTTTAAGGAGGAGGACTTGAGTCCATATACAAATGACACCTCAAAGCAATGGGGAGGGAAAGCATCATGTTCTGCTGGCTGCTCTTCCTTCATAGACTGTAAGACACACCTTGATGCAGCCTCCTGCTCCAACATGTTACCCAGTTTTCATTGGGAATTGTCACCTGAATTGTCAGCGTTCACCAGGCAGCAGGCTGCAAGCTGCAGAGATTGGGGTGCTCACCCCATGTTACAGTAATGAAGAGTAAGTCAGAAGCTGGCTTCTCAGGAGCCTGAAAGCTCCATCACAGGAGGTAGACTGGGACAAAGAAACCATCAGTGTAATTCACCAAGTTCACTTTTTTTTTTTAAATATCATGATTTAGCAGCAAAGCCTCAGTTCATCTGGGGAGAGGACTAAGAGACCGAGGACAAAAATTAACTAATGAGAGTGCAGCAAGAGACCCACTGCTTTTGGCCATGTGCAGCCAGCCCTTCTGAATGAGGACTCATTGAAAATGGTACAACAGAAGCCCGTAACAAGGCCAAAACAATAGAGCAGCAGCTTTTCTCCACCTCTTCAACCAGGCTGCCAGAGAAATGCGATTAAGATTTGCATCAAGAAGCACAGTCAGTTTCCTCTGCATAAAGACAATCGTGGAAAGCTCTCTCTATGAAATAGTGTTGATGGATACCTTCAAAATAATGTAGATTGTTATTTCCAAACTAGATTCAAGAATGTGTCTTCCAAGCCAGGAATTCATTTGCTAGATAAGAAACAAACTGTGCTGAAAGTGTCTCCATCACATGTACAATCCTCCAAAAGTCCCAAATCAGTGGTGCAGAACTGGCACACCAGAAAAACACAACTCAGGGCAATAATTTCACTTTTTTTCAGCCTGGAGGAGTTGAGTGAGGAAATCTGAGTGCTTCTGCCAAGTCCTCAGGTCTGCATACTGAGATAGAAATCTCAGGAGATCAAGCTTTTGGCTTTTTCAGCACTCCTCCTGCCTCTGGATCTGGGCCAAACAGCCACATCCACAACCCTTCTGGTGTGCTTCTGGCCATCAGCCTCAGCCAGAACTCAAAACAGAAGAAAAGAAAGGAGTTAAGAAGGAGCACATCAGCCTATTAAAGAAGAAGCTGCTTCTCAAACCATGACATTTCAAGCGTGATATATAGTTCTGCACCAGCTATATCTGCTCCTGGCTGACTCAGCTCTTCTCACCACTCTTGAAGTGACCATAATTAGAAAGCACAGGTACCTGGTGGCTAGCAGGGGGTAGGTATGCAGAGGGCTGAACCAAGCTTCCTTCATCCGTGGCATACTCTCATATATTAAGAGGTCTTTCTCCGTCAAGACCACTAGCACTGGCTTCCAGTGCTTCTCGTTGTCTCCTGGCACCTGAAAAAGAGCAAAGTTTCAGTGAAACAAGTGACAAAGCTGCAGTCGTGCAAAGCCTGATGACAGGAACATGTCAAGTCCTGGACAAGATAATGAACAAAATACAGTTTTACTTCTTTGGCTTTTTTATATCTCTCCCCTGAATTTATAACCAGGTGCAGCAGAAATGGAGTAAAGTGCAATGACATCTGCTGCTCTCACCAGCAGTGCCATTTCCAGCCCTCCCTGCAGCCTTCCCCTACTACAAGCTGCTCCATAAATGCAGTAGTGGAAGTACACAGAGACAGAGCTGGCTGTTACTTAGTTATGGTCTGTATGAAAGGACCTTAAATGGATTTTTATAACATGCACCATTCGTGTGTCGCTGGCACATGAACCTCAGTGCTGGATACTGCTGATGCAGTTTCTATTTTCATGAGTAAAGAAAGCTGCAACATCATCACCGTTAAAGAAGAGTATCAGGTCATAAAAAACAGTGGTTTGGGAGGAGATGCTTTTTTCCTCAGCAGTTCATTTTGTCACTGCTGCTCCTTCCTTCATCGTTTTTCCAGTTTTACAAGTGCCAATTTATAAAGACACCCAACCTAAACACTGGGTTGATCTGAAGCATTGCCTCAGTGATGGATCAGCATTCATATTTCAAACCCATCTGTAGAAGACATCTGAAGATTGAGACATCAAAGCCCTTTCCTTCCTGCAGAATCCAGATGTGGAATTATATGTTTCAGGTCAGACACAGGGTAGTTGCCACAGCTACTGTTACAGGGACCCAGTATGCATCCTGGTTTTTACTTATTCCACTCTGGCAGCATAGAAGGGTCTTTGGTTCAAGTAAGAATGAAGCTGTTGTCTCTTACAGACAAATTCATCCTGTTCCTGTTGGTGCACAAAGAAAACGAAACCCTGTAACACTCACAGCCATGCCTTCTGACCCAAACATCTGGGCTGGATGCTAAAGGGAATGTAACAATCCTGAGATTCACTAGAGAAACTGGTTGTCTCTGTGACTCCTCCATTAAAACCTTCTCCAGGAAAAAGAAGTTGTCTGCACTGGTTTATGATTCATGCCAACCCACTTGCCATGGGCATGTGTCACTGGGATCATCACTGGGTGGAGAAAGATACAAAAAGATCAGTCCAAGGTTGGCTGGCTGGGACTGGCACAGCCAGAAATAGTAATTTGGACCCTTAAGTACAATGTGCCTTAAGTGATGGATTAAAATTGAGAATCACATTTAAAACACCTGTATTCTATATGAAGACAGGGTTCCACAAATTTCTAAACTTTTAAGGACTTTCAAGACAGTTGTAAGATATCTTTGCACCAGAACACCAATGCTTAAAGCAGATCTTAAATGAAGATTTTTGGTTTGCATCATTTTTGAAAACTATTTTTCTTTCTGAATTAAGCTTTTCTAGTAATCATATTCCTGTTCACAGAATTACTTGCTCATTGGTTGTTCATGTCTGTGTGTTAAACGACGTAGAGTCATAAAGGGTTCGGCCTGTTAATTTTTTCAGGAGCATCAATATTATTTACAGTTTTCTTGTGGTGACAATTTCTTGAAATGCAACCTTTCATTTTCAAGTAGGGCTGAATAGAGAAGCTGCATAATTAACATACCTATTAATACACTCCGGAAAGAAAGCAAAATCCAGAGTTCTCACAGCCTACATACCATGGAAATATTCACGAATAAGAACCATCCTTGGATTCTTAATACCACAGTTATTAACTACAGATAATACTCCAGTTCCCAGCATGGGAATATAGAAGTAAAAGTTACAGTTAATGTTAACATTTAATAAATGTTAACATTTAATTTTTGAGCGCCTCCCTGTGTTCTTTAATTAGAAAGATTCTAGTACATACTTTTGAAGATTTCCAGAAAAGAAAAAGAAAGGTAAATATGAAATCTCTCCTAGGATGAAAAAACAGGATGTTCAGATCCATAATCTGGAGCTGTATGCATGTTGTATACTGAGCTGTTACTTATTTTTCAATGCTGTGACCACAAAGAATCCAAAGACTATGGGAAGCTGCTCACAGGTTCTGCGCAGAGTCAATCCCCTGCCTATGTAGCATTTTCAATCACAAGCTTTGCTATTAGGTGGCTGATCGGTTAACTGTGACTCCAGAAACTTTGGAAAACACCCTTCCCTGTGAAGCAACTGTAAGGAAGGGAATAAAACTAATTTTGTCAGCTGGTCCCACAACTGTTTGGTGGACAGCCATAAACATCAGGAGCCAGAATTTCCAGTGTGAATCCTGAGGTTGCCACTAGCACAGTGAAGCCCATTGTTTTGCCCCAGTTCTTCCCAGTGGTAGGGTGCCTGTGAAGACATGGGTTGGTCATAAGGTATTGGAGACTTTCTCCAGTATAAGTGACCTAATACTGCTCCTCCTTCTAAGATGTATCCCCTGTTTGTATACTGGGAAGGAGAGAGAGAAGAAAGGCGTTTCCCTGCATCCTGCTAGGAAGCCCTGCCCAGTAAGAAGGACCATGCAACACACGCCCTTTTAAACACATTTTTTAAACCTTGCTGGGCCCATAGCTGCCTCACTGCTAAGGAATGCTGCTGTAAGCAATGCTGCTTCTATTTCAGACCTGAAGAGGGATTTGTGTGCCTGAAGGCTTGCCTGTTTTCTTTCCAGCTGTAACAGCTGATCTAATAAAAGACACTGCCTTTCCTTAAAAACCCTCAATTGCGTTACTGTTCCCCGACTTCGCTGGAGTTTGGATCAGGCTTTGACAGCTGATGCCGTGCTGGGCAACAGTCATTTGGCCCTTCTAGAAGGCGTCAAAGAGAACACGCTGTCCCATAAACAGTAATAGCAAATTTTACACAGAAAGAAGAGAGGCTGCAAATATACCAGTAGCCTACAGGGCACATTCAGAACAAATCAGCATGGGAAATGAATCCAGATCAAGCAAGTGTCATGCCAAGCACAAGTGCAGCAGCAAATTACAAAAATGAAAGCAGCAAACATGCTGCTTATGGGCAACTAAGTGAAGGACTTGTTAAACTTTTAAAGGTTTTGAAATCTGACATAGCATAAAGATAACATTAAGTACTTATGTAGAAGTAAATTTAAGTATCATTTGAGATACATCTTAGAGGTACCACTTTAGACAATAGAGGCAGCTTCTTAGCCAGAATTTTGCAGAATTCTGGCACTTGCGCTACAGTTCCTTTGCTCCAGTTCCCACTTGCACATGTACAATCCTAAGTGCATTGATCTGTGGAGCAGAAAAAATCACCATCTACTCTTGAAAACATTTTTCAAACTCAATGCTTTTTCAAAGTCAAAAATGTTAGATCAAATCTAGATATACTACAGAAAAGAAAAATCAGTACTCTGCAAACCTCCCACCGCTATCAAATGACTCAGAAAATTTTTTTCTGGTCTTCTGGGCACTATCCTGTTAACTCAAAGCAACAGATACCAGTGCCCCCTCTCCATGCTCTGCTCACCTCAGCTGAGGTCATTGCTTATATTCCCAGGTGAAATTCCACTTCAAGTCAATGAAGCTGTAAATATTTATACCAGGAGCAAACTTGTGGGCTTTTTGTTTTTTTCTTTCCTAGACACACTGTGCCTGTAGATCAAAGTCTTCAAGTACAAACTTGAAAAGGGAGAACATATGCTAACAAAAAAACCCAAGTTGCTGAAGCATCCTTTTTGCTACTCACAAACATCTTTGCTCCTCATATACTCACCCCGTGAATTGCAAACCTCATGCACCTTGGTTTACTTTTCCAAATTCAGAAAATAATTAATGTAGAGCAGAGATGAAACTCTTTTCCCCAGTATAATGATGTGATGTCTGGTCCTGGGATGGCACCAGAGACCTGTGTTCATGCCTTGCTGAGCCACAGGCTTCCTCTGCAAAGTCAGTCTAAATGTTCTGCATGTCCCTTTGGACTTGGTGTTCTCTCCTGAGGTGGCAAGTGCTGCAACACACACAGCAGGAACAGCAGGAAATGTGAAGGTGGACAAAAAGTGTGCAAGACCGGCTGTTGTATTTCAGCAGCTACATGGAGACCTGTCCATCAACCTTTGGCTGAAACAAGAGGGAAAGTGCTTTGATGCAGAAGGCAGACGGCTCACGCAGGGCTAGGACAACCAGACCCCACCACCCTGAAGGGGCACCTGAGCTCTGGCTGCTTTTGGATGTCTTTGCAGTGGTGAGGCAGCATCACTCCAGGCTTTGCCTCAGGGCCAGATCTTCGGTCTTGAAGGACTTACGGCAAGTAGCAAGCTCAGTGCTACCCATAGGACCACTCATGCTGGTTTTCTGGCAACTGCTCACATGCTTAAGGCCACTCCTTGCAATGTACCCTTAAGGAGTAACTCCTCTGATACACAGCAAATAATACTTCAAAGAGGAGCCAGCTTGTTTTTCACACAGGTGATGAGGACTTTTGGCCCCTTTAAGGGGCATCAGGAGATTACAAATCTTTAATAGTTTTCACATATAATTAGTTGCTGGAAAGACAATGGGCATCTCAGTGGAGATAAATCCTTTTACGAATGGTTTGGCTCTTTGCTCTTTCATCTGTCAGGTCTCCTTTCTGGAAGTTTTTTCTCTGAATTTCACTTCTTCATCTACTATAGGCTGCCAGGAATGGATGAAAGAATACCTTTAATCTATGAGCCTCACAGATAATTAAATTAGAGGCCTTGGTCTACTCTGAAAAGCTGTTTTACGTTTTCATTAACTCAAAAGGGACACTTCAATTACATTCCCTGTTTAGTAAACAAATTATATATTGTCAGTAGACTCCACTGCAGCAAGAATCCAAAATGTGGCCTTTCAGAGGACTGCTGTGGAGGTAGCAAGTTCACATTTACAGTAAGTGGTTCAACCCCTTTTCCATCACCTTCTCCCAAATCCTGGAGCTACACTATCCCCTCAAACAGAGCACAGGAAAAGTAACCAAGAATTTTCAGAAACTTTTTTCTTGACATTTTCCCTCCTCACTTAAAATCTCTC